TATCTGTTACCCGTCGTTTTCAAGGGCTTCACCAACCACGCGTGGCAGGGAATGAATATACCCCCCAAAAGGGGGTACGATCGAAGTTGTTGTTGTTGTTGTTGTTGTTGTTGTTGTTGTTGTTGTTGTTGTTGTTGTTGTTGTTGTGTTGTTGGTGGTGGTGGTGGTGGTGGTGGTGGTGGTGGTGGTGGTGGTGGTGGTGGTGGTGGTTGCGTGTGTGTGTGTGTGTGCGTGTGTGTGTGTGTGTGTGTGTGTGTGTGTGTTTGTGTGTGTGAACTGGAGGGGGCTACCCGCCTGCCCGCAGGGCACCTGCCACCGCCCGCCATGGCCAACCGCACCGGCGGGGGCCCCAGCAGTGCTGCCCCTGGCGCAGGCGGCCTCCGCCGCTGCCGGGCTCGTGGACGCAGCCAGCGGCCCTCCGATAGCTTCGGAGATGCGCCACCGGTGCGATAGGTCGCGCTCTACGGGGCGCGGCCCATCGCAGCGCCCCTCTGGCCGCGCCGCAGCTCCAGCGAGCGCGGCCGCCCGGGGAGCGCTGGCGGCTGCCACGGTGGCGACCACGGCCCTGCCACCGACCCCATGGGGCACCTCGGGCTCGGGGGTGGCCGCCCACGTGGGCGCTGAGCGGCGACTGCAGGAGCGTTCCCGCTCGCCGGGGGAAGCACGGCACCGCAGCCAATGGGCCAGGGCGCGGCAGCGCACCCCACGCGGCTGCGCATGCCGAGGCTTCCACGGCGCGGTCCAGGTCCAGCGGGCGGGGAGCCCCGGCGGGGCCCCCTCAGCAGCGGACGCCGGCAACCTCTCTGGGCTAGCTCGGGACTCTCTTGGGTGCCTCTTCAACCGTCTTGAGGGCCTCCTGGGCCATCTTGGGTCGCTCTTGGAATGCCTTGGGTCTCTCGTGGAGGCCTCCCGGGCCGTCTTGGGGCCATCTTGGAGGCGCCTTGCGCCGTCGTGGAAGCTCGTGAAGCCGAAAAGCCAAGAATACAACAATCATTCAACAAACAGCAGGACGTCAAACTATGTGGCACCTTGAGGTCTGCCTGGGGGATCTTTCGGAACTTTCTCTGGGGTGTCTTTGGGGCCTCTTGGGCATTCTTGGAGCCGTCTTGGGCCCTCTTGAAGGCATATTCATCCCACTTGGACGCCACTTGGGCCGTCTTGGGCCGACTTGGATGGCGACCAGGGCCCTCTCAGAGATCCTCTGAGGGCCAACTTAAGAGGCAAGGTCGTTGGATGGCCTCATTTGGGGAAATTCAGGGTGGCCAATGGGTCGGGCCGAGAGCCACTGGGATTTTTTTTTGGGGGGGGGACATAATAACCAAAGACAAGGTAACATCCAGCACGCCAAGCACCCTTTTGATGAATCGGTACCGGGCGGCGGATTGAGGCCAAGGGTCCGGAGTTCCGAGCGTTTCTTGGCCTTCATGAGGCTTCATGGGTACCTTGTCCAAAAGCCTGGGGAGCGTAGTTCAGGACATGCGTTAACATGGCCGGCCCAAGAGGCCAAAAGAGCCACAATCTCTAGAGTTTCAGTGCAATTTTTGCGCATTCGCCTTTTCTGTGTTGAGGTCGTCCAAGGCGGCCCAGGAGGCCCTCAGGATCGTCGGTCCCAGAGGCCCCAAGAAGGGGGCCCAAGAGGCCTCCAACACGGCCTCAAGCGGGGCCGAAGAGGTGGTACCTCGAAGGGGCCCTCGGAGCCCCTCCCCCCAAGACGCGCCATCATGCCCCCGTGGCACGTTGAGGTTTCGGTCGAGTGCCACAAGCTGCAGGTCTTCTAAGGGGCCACCCCTCTCCTGTCCGACGCGTCCCTGGGGCTCTTCAAGACTCTACGAGATTTTCAAGACAGCCCAGGAAGTCCATCAAGGCAGCCAAGATGGCCCAAAATTGCCTCAGTCCGCCCTCGAAAGGCCACCGACAGGTGATTTCCTTAGATGTTTTTTTTTCAGATGTTTTTCCCAACCCTCCTTGGTTGGGTATTCGTTTCGAATAGAACGCTGCTCGCGCGGCCTTCCTTCCTCCCGCCTCCCGCCTCTCCCCGCCTTCCGCTTGTCTGCAATTGCCATGTGCGTACCTCTTGTGATCTGAGGGGCTGCGATCAGCGAAACTGTTGCCACTTTCGAGGGCTGCTGGTGGGTCCAGCGGAATGAGGCACCGCGCAGAGCTGAGCGAGACCTCGCCGTCCCTGAGGGCTGCGATCTGCGAAACTGTCGCCACTTTCGAGGGCTGCTGGTGGGTCCAGCGGAGTGAGGCGCCGCACAGAGCTGAGCGAGACCTCGCCGTCCCTCGAGTCCCTCGAGGGCTGCGATCTGCGAAACTGTCGCCACTTTCGAGGGCTGCTGGTGGGCTCGCCACTCTCGAAGGCTGCCGGTGGGTCCTGCGGAGTGAGGCACTGCGCGGACCTGAGCAGTACCTCGCCGTCCCTGAGGGACCATGTCATGTTGTTTCTGCCCCGCCGACGTTTCAAGCCCCTTGCCCACACTCTCCTTTTGGACCTTGCGTTTTACTTAGTGACTCAGGGGTTCACTTATTTACTCATCGTTTTTCTCTTGATTGGGGACCTGCGAACCTTCCGAATGCCGCTCGCAGAAGTATATGCGTCCATGTCACGTCGCCGCCTTCTCGTCAAATCTCCCAAGCTACTCCTGCCCCGCATTGCGCAAGGGTTGGGTACGTCGCCAGGGTAATTCGCTTTTTTCCGCTCTTCGGTCGCAGATCGCTCCACTCGCGATATTCGAAAGCCCAAGAGGACCAACTGGGAGCCGAAAAAGGGCCCCTAGACGGCCACAAGAGAGCCCCAAGCTGGCCCAAGAAGGCCTTCTGAGTAACCCCAGACGGCTTCACAATGTCCCAAGACGACCCAAGGTGGCCCCTCCAAACTGCCCCACAGGAGCCCAACAGCCGTACCCTTTCTGAGCGCAACTCCCGACTCAGCATGGCGCTCTGGCCTCAACGCTGGCCGCGATCTCGACTCAGAGTGTGCCGCAGGGCCCGCGCATCAAAACGAGGTTATTCGACTCATCAAGCATACAATCACCTGTTGCTGTATGCCATGGATGGGCGGAGTGCGTGTGACGTAGGGACGGGTGCACCATGTGTGGGTAATGGGAGGGGGGGATGACGGGATAGGGGGTAGGGAAAAACGTGTTCCTGCAAAAACCCTTTGGACTGCAGCAGCTCGATCAGCATGTCGCGCGTGTACTGGCTCGGCAGGGCCTTCAGCATCACGGTACTGCCCTGCGGGGTCACTTCGTGATCCACTGCCTTCTCCTGGACCTTGGCGACAGGACAATCCTATCTCCGCTCGCAGAAACCACCTCCTCTTCGAATTGACTTTCAGGCGGTCCTCGCCCTCGGCGTGAACGCCAACACCACTCTGCTCGCTGCCGCCGATTCCGCCGGCGGAATCAGAATCGGTTGCACTATCATTATGTCGGGCGTGTCCCCCTACAGGGGGATTTTCGACGAAAAATCAACAATGTTCCAAAAATACACCCCAAAGGTCAACCAAAATACTAAAAAAATAATCCCCAGACTATGTTTGGACTATTTTTTGAATATTTTTTGGGTATTTTTCATTTTTCGTCGAAAATCCCCCTGTAGGGGGACAGGCCCGACGTAGGCGGAATCAGAATCGGTAACACTACCAGAAAAAAGGGAGCCGCCGCCATGCGGAATCGCCGTGCCTGCGGAGGAAAAAAGCATCCAGAGGTCAGCGGAGGTCCCCGAGGGTGCTCGGGAATCCCCAGAGATACCCGGAGGCCTCCAAAGGCCCTAAGAGGCTCGAAAAAGGCCGAACCCATCCCCAAACCCAAATCCTCTTGGAGCCAGGGCGGTCGCGGAAGCATCTTCCGTTAGGTGTGACGGTTTGCGGGTGAAGCCCTCTCCTGCCAGAGGCGCTGTTGGGAGGAGGAGCACCCCACTTTTGATAACGACGGTTGGCATGGTGCTGCCCTGCCCGCAAAGCGATCCCCTGGAGCAAGCTATGCCCTCACCTCCTCGCGTCGTTCGGAAAATCATGACGCCAGATGTTTGGTCGTTTTTGGCCTCCAGGTGCTCTCGCTGGGACCCAGGGCGATGAACAAAAAAAACTCGGGATAAAGCCAGCCCCCCGGACGCAATCGGGACGTCTGCGGATCTGCGTTGTGAGCAATCGCGACGTCAGAGTTGCGGGTAGCTTGACTCGGTGACAAGGTTCTCGGCGGTGCACCTGCGGCGTCGGCGATGCATGGGTGCCGTGGGCGTGGAGAAAACTGGGCGCCGCATCGCCGTTGCATCGCCGAAGCGGCGCGATCCTGCGATCGGGAGGCCACTTCGCAGGCCATATGATCTCGGATCCTGTTTGGGAGGCCGCCTGGGAGGCAGCGATCCTGCGATGGGGAGGCCATCTGGGAGGCCACTCGCGTCCTCCTCCTCCTCCTCCTCCTCCTCCTGCTCCTCCTTCTCCTCCTCCTCCTCCTCCTCCTCCTCCTCCTCCTCCTCCTCCTCCTCCTCCTCCTCCTCCTCCTCCTCCTCCTCCTCCTCCTCCTCCTCCTCCTCCTCCCTCCTCCTCCTCCTCCTCCTCTCCTCCTCCTCCCCTCCTCCCCCTCCCCCTCCTCCCCCTCCTCCTCCTCCTCCCCTCCTCCCCCTCCTCCTCCTCCTCTCCTCCTCTCTCCTCCTCCTCCTCCCCTCCTCCCCCTCCTCCCCCTCCTCCTCCTCCCCCTCCTCCTCCTGCTCCTCCTCCTCCTCCTCCTCCTCCTCCTCCTCCTCTTCCTCCTCTTCCTCCTCCTCCTGCTGGTCGGACTCCACTTGGGGAGGGCTTGCTCGCCGCGGCTGCGACCGCTGGCGTTGCGGGCGCCCGGCCACCGAGCCCCCGGCGGGGGCGCCGGGCACGGCGGCGACGGCCCGCCCTGGCGAGGCCGGGGGCCGCGGGTCGCTCTGCGGGGCGCCCACCTCCGCGCGGGGGCTCGGGGGGGGGCGAGGAGGGGGAGGAGGGGGAGGGGGAGGAGGGCAAGCTAGGTGCG